CTCCTCCTCCTCCTCATCATCATCATCATCATCATCATCATCATCATCTTCTAAGAGAGCAATATACCTAGCACCCTGTGCGAGTGCGGGTCTAACGCGAATTCCTCTCCCTGCAATCGTAAACGGTTTTCATGGGCGGAATTGCAGCCTAAGGTCGCTTCAGTAGGAAGCATGATTGATTATGGTCATCAACTGTCCAAATGGACACGGTTGACGTTTTCTATGGACATGTACAAACCTTTTACATGAAACCACAGATGGTCGCCATCCTTATCAAAGCCACTATTATTGCATTTGCTTAGGCCGCCGCCCTCGACGACCTGGCCAAGGCCCAGTCGGCTGCAGAACTCCAGGCGATATTGCGTGTATGTGCACGGGGCGAGCGAGACATCGCCGCGATTGACGATCACGCGCACGGGTTGGCAGCTGAAGCAAAGAAAACGGTGGATCGTGTCACCGCCAGTAGCAAGGACGGACGGCTTCAGCCATTTGTTGATAACCTGAAAAGAAAACCTGTACGTTAATTACCCTATCAAGTGAGAAACGCCCGACAATTAATTTTGTAGCTACTTCTTTGTACCCTATATTCGTCACGCGTAAGTTACCCTAAAATGTCGAAAAAAACACCTTCCGAGATGGTCGATATGCAACCTATTTTAATCAGACCTTTTCATTTTCTATGTGTGTTCTTGTCCGAAAAAGTACGCTTGCTCCTCTGAAATAGTCATGTTCAATAAAAAATCTCAGGAGACCATTGTCCAGCACGAGCGAAAAATATTTTTGTGCGACAGGCTTATATGTAATAAGGTTGTTTTTATTTCTATAATATCACTATATCTATCACTATATATCTTTATATCTATCTATATCTATATATCTATATCTATATCTATCTATCTATCTATCTATCTATCTATCTATATCTATCTATATCTATATCTATATATCTATATCACTATATCTATAATGTCACTCCTACAAAGAGTGCAAGAAAAGAAGCCACAAGCAAAGCTACCCAA